CCATCTGAATGGCTTTTATCTATAGCAGTGATATCATGGCTCAACACTGTAGCATCTGAGCAGCCAAATGAAATGCTGTATTAAACTAAAAATCACACTTGTGGCTGTGTAATATAAAACAAAATGCAGGAAGAGAAGTATCTAAAAAAGCAGTGCTAGGAGATACACCATGGTACGGCTCCCTTTTTTTACCCTGACCAAAAGTAGTTACCCCCAGAAAAGTTAGCAAAATTGTTCTGAGATCAAAAGATAGCATCTCTGAGTTGTGCCAAGAAAGTTCTCTCAAGTAGCTATAATAATGTCAGGTTTTTGCACAGCAGAAACTTACAAAAGGCCCAGAATTTTGTTCTCCATAACATTTAGCAAACTATGGGTATGAAAGTTGCACTGACTACAATGCTCAAAGATAAAGGACTCCTCCAACAAGACATGTTCTGTATCGAGAAGCAAAGCTTATCTTCTCTCTGAACAACAATAAAAACACAAATCAACTGTCTCTGGATAGCCGAATAAATACTCCATTTCTCATAACTAACAGACACCCATGTTTTGCACTTACCAGCTCCTCGCAAAGGCCTTTTGTTAGGTTTAGACTTAGGGATTGTTGATGAGACAGAAGCATCAGATTCTACTTCTTGCTGTTCAGACAAAATGAAAATTATTCAGAACCAGTCAACTTGTAGTTTTCAGCTAGCTAATTAAAGATAGTGCTGCAATATGTAATGTTTAAGGAGAGTAAAATTACCTGGTTCCGTTTCTCTTTGTAGCTTTTTCCTTCTTGCATGCTCTCCCACATGGCTATCTTTTGCCTTCTCTTCTCTTCTTCAAGCTGGAGGGTGGGAGGGGGAAATGAATTTGAAACACTGTAAGACTGTATAAAATTAACAACTGATACAGCTGGAATAATCCACAAAGCGGGTTAAACTGCTGCCATTTTAACAAAGAAAAAAATTCATAAGCCAAACACAAACAAAACTGATAAATTCCTAATGTTTCTTTCCTTAGCTAAAGTAGTGATAACCAAATCTTTCCAACCACAGTGCATAGGGATGGGGGAAATGCCTTCAAATCATTGTCATCATCATTCTTTCATCATCATGTGCTAAGACAACGTGAAAGAATAAAATGCTACATAAAGAGCTATTTCAGAGTTACTCCCCTCCCCCCACCACACACAAAAAGAAATCTTCTCTAGACCAAATCTTTACAAATCATGAATATGAAGTCATTTAAAACATTAGAGGTTTTTGGTAGAAAGCAATGTATTGTTAAAATGAAGTGTCGAAAAGCACAACAAAACATTTTTGCAAGGAACAGTCATACATATTAGCATATGAAAATCGAAATCTTTCCCGAAGAAATTTATCAACACAGACTAATGGTTAACATATCCTTCGTCTTAATGAAAGGAAATAAGATATAGTTTGCCAAGAGTCAAAGAGAGCAAGGCTTTCTCTTTATAAATGCATTGGACTCAATTTCCTCAAAGATTGCTATTCATCTCCTGAACTCAGTTTTCCATTAAATTTTAAACTTCCGGGATTTCTTCAAATATCAACTAAGCCGAGAGGGGACTCTTGACACTTAAGACCTAGTGCACTGGCACTATATATTTCCTGAAGAATTAAGCTTGCTTTAGAGCATATAAATTCCATGTGTAATTGTGTCAGTAATTACTATGTTGACAGTGTCAGTGTAAACATCCTTTTGCATACACAACAACTGGGTTTGCACACACAATCACAGTCACTGCCTCCAAGCCTGATTTTTTAAAGAATCAGGACTATAGTGTTTTCTCTTACTGTATATTTTAGGAGGGAAAAAAAAGTGTTGTGTAGGTCAATTACTTTAAGAAGGAACAGAACAAAAGAGTAGAAACAGACCTGCATGAATGAATTTCCTGCATATTAGCAAGACTTATTTTGCCCGATCAAGATAATCAAAACCTTAACTCAACTAAGCACTTCGGCATTTGTGCTTAAGATCACTGAACTCCTTATACCAAAAGTCTTTAAAGTAATAGAGATGGAACACATCAATCTTCATAATTTGACCCTTAAGCCTTGGATAATCTTCCAAGACTTTAGTTCCAAACATAATATGGAAGAAATACAAGAGTTCACAGATCTTCTATAATTGATAAGGTATACATCTACTTCTGTACTGAAAAAACACCCAAACAAACCTGAACAACAAATTAAGAAGTATTAATGTCACTCTAGTCCTTACAGTACCTGTCTTTGCTTTTCTTTGTATTTTTCAGCTTGTGCATTCAACTCCTCTTGCATCCTGATGCGAGCTGCTGCCAGAGCTTCCTGCTGTCTCACCACCACATCAGGTTCTATGAGATCATGGAAAAAAGTTGGCAAACCTACCATCTTCAAAGAATCTGGTAAGCCATATAGCCCTATAGCTGCTCTTGAAGAAACTGTAGCTGAAGCTTACTTAGTAACTAATCTTTTCCAATAACTTATGTAATGATCCAACTTCAAATCAGAATTTTTGGAATGATCACTAGCCCATTAAATTAAACTTTAAATTGTTGATGGATTGGTTACCATTCTAGTTTTGAAACTGGTTGGTAAGAATTATTTCAGAATGACTTGTCCATACTCTACAGAAAATCCATTTTCATCAACAGAACTTTTTCTATTAGGAATCATTAACAAACCAGCACTAACTCCCTCACACTTCTCCAATTGTTCCTACTTGTCTCATCAAAACAATAAAGTGGAAGATCCTACATACTCTATCAAGAGAGACATAACTTATGAAGATATTATACATTCTTTTCTCCAATGAGAAAAGCAGACAACCTAAGAAACACTACCTATTGTTTGTCCCTGCTGCCTTTTGTAATTGTCACAGGGGAAAAGACCAACATAAAAAAAACACCTCAGATATTTTACTCAGCATTTTCTACTGCTGTAACTTCCCCATATTAACAATGTATATGCATGAGTATATTAAGTCATAAACAAACAATTTTAGGATAGAGAATTGTCAGCAGTAGTTGTGTAAAATACTTAACTTAGTATTTCCACTGAAGCCTGCAATAACAGAATAAAAATTTCTAGAAGAGATTCCGGTGTAATTTCATTGCACACTAAAATCTAATTATACCCATGAAAGTAATAGGGCTTTATTACACTCCATGCTGCCAGTGTACTAATCTGAGTCAGTGCCAGACAATTATTCTTTACAGAGCACCATAAATGTACCTCACACTTTACAGCAGCATGAATCCAACTGAAGCAAACTCTAGACTACATAGGATTTACAGCCTAGAGCCACAGCTCGAGAGATAGAATAACAAACACAGTGTGCAGTTACGCACAAATGTTACTCATGATGTGAGCGGTGTTGAAGGATAATAGAAGGAAGTAGATGGCAAATACTAATCAGGAGAATTTGTAAAGCCTATCAAACATCTTTCAGTTTCTCTGGCAATGCTGTAAGGTCCTCAACTTCTGTGGTGACGAACCCGGAGATATTCGGGCACTACAGTACGATAGAAGTCACTACACAGGATATGTTGCTTTCAAGATAATAGTCCCAAAACTCCAAAGAATCACAGAATACTAGAACTGGAAGGGCCCTCGAGAGATCATCAAGTCCAGTCCCCTGCCCTCACCACAGGACCAAGCACGGTCCATGCTACCCTGCAGCAACTCTATTCACTGCTTCATTTCTTCTCTTTCTCTTTTCAGGCCACCCTTCACCTTTGGCAAAGCCTTCCAAGTCTTGAAAGGCAGATCTTTCACTAAGTGTTCCTCCACTGACCTCCTTGCCAATGAGGGCTCTGCACCTTTGGTGCCTGAAAAGTTGCCTTGGGCACCATGTCAGTGTTAGTTCGTAAGATTGTTAGAGCAGGAACATTATCACATCATGGTATTTAGGAAAGATCTGCACATTCTGCATACAGCGGTGACTTTGGGAAGCCTTGCGAGCTATTTGGAGGCCTGCACATCTGCAGATATACGCCTTATATCCACAGGTATCTGCTACTCATTTTCACAGCTAGAGTCGCAGATACACATTCTGTATCCGCATAGGGCTCTTGTGATATATGCAAGGCCGCCATAATGAATGTAACGAGTGGGGGGCTCCCAGGCAGGGCCGGACGGAGCCATTCCGGCACCCTGGGTTGGGGGAGGGCGCATGCGTGGCCCCGGCCCCGCCTGGTACATAGGGGAAAGCGCACGGAGCTGGCGGCAGCAGGATGCATGTGCCCGGCCCAACCCAGCCCGGCTACCGCCGCTGGC